TTTCTGGAGATCTTCCAAACCCGCCTGGATGCCACCCTGTGCCACGTGCTCTGGGTGTCCCTGCTGGAGCAAGGGGGTTGGACAAGATGATCTCTAGAGGTCCCTTCCAACTTCAACCATTCTGTGATTCTGTGAATCAGTTATATTTCTTATTGTATTTTTCCTACATATTTCCCCCCTTATTTATCTGTATGATGCAGTAATTTCCTGCCTTGTCTATTATAATTTTCTCTCTTCTGCATGCTGTGATCTTCTCGTAGGTTTTTTTTTTTTTTGAGTTTATGCATTTTTTTTCAGTGTTGGGTTCTGCTTTTGGACAACCTGTTCTGACACCACTGGCTACCTGGTTATCTTCTCTTCCTCTCTCCTAAGAACAACTCTTTTTTTCTCCCCACTGACACTCTGTATTAAACAAAAGCCCATACTCCACTCACTACTCTTTTTTACATATATAAGTACTGCTGACTATTTGCTGTGTATATAAGTAACCTCACTGACTGTGGCAAATGTATCTACTAGATATAAAAAATTATCATAATAAACTGTATTATGTTTACAGCAAGCCTGTATAGTTGTATCTGTTTCCTATTTTCCCATATGAGTACTTTTCACTATGTGATATCATGCATTCTGTAATACAGAAAGACAAATCTTCTGAGAAGACTTTATAACATATGTGTACTCAGTCTCACAAATAATCTATTTATGCTATTGTGCATTAGAGTATCACTACAATAGCATTCTTTGACCCAAAAGGTCAATGTCCCTCAAGCACCTTCATTAAGAAGCTGTGGTGGATTTAGATGTATTTGAAGGCAGAAGGCTCCATATCCTTTGAGCTATTGTGTTAATTGTCTGCATTTTTATCCTTACCTTGCCCTGATAATCCTATCTTGACATTCAGAGATGTCAAAGAGCTCAACAACATCATCAAAGGGATATTACATCTTCTACAAGCCACAGAGCAGAAAGGACAGTATGTTTTATACAGCTTATCTTTATGAAACTTTCTGCTAGTAAGTCTTTGCTCTCAGGCAGAAAGTACTGCTGTAAGACAGATTTCGCTAGTGGGTGGTTTAAATTGGAGACAAGCATATGTACCCACATATGGTCTTATTTAGCCCAAAAGGGCCTATGGCCTGATGGATGTCATTGTAGAAGAAAAGAATTGATGGCCTAAATGGTCCCCTTCTGTTCTTAAATTTCAAGTTGTTTCTGTTTATGGGAGAACAGACTTACTCAAATACAGTATAAGCTAGGATGAAAGAGTTATCACTGTTACTAGTTACAGGAGATACTGAGCCCTGTGATATATTCTCTCCTGTTACGTAGTTGAAAAAGCTCACCCCAAAGGCCAAAATGTTACCTCTGTCTTCTTACCTGGACGATGGGCCTTTGGAACTGCCATATTCATCACTCGCCCCCCATCCTGAGGTTTGGGAGGGGATGCAGTAAACCTGCAAATCCCCGATTCTGATGGCGTGCTTGAGGTCAGACTGTCTGTGTAGTCATTAGTCCCTGCCGTTAACTGTTCCGACGATGTGTCTGATATGAAGCATTCGGTAATGGTGAACTTGGCATGTCTCAGCTGCTCTTCCATTTTCGCATGCTCGTATGCTCTTGCTAGCTCTTCGTATGTTGAGGAGGCACTTTCTGTGGAGACCATGCTGCTTCTTGCTCGATCTAAACACACACATACGTAATGGAAATGTTATAAACATTACAGTGTTTCCTAATTAGATGCAGGGTTCATAAAATTACCTAACTTTTAAATAAGCCTGCTTTACTATAGATGTTTGAAAAACTTCTATTTTGTTCAGTTACTTGATAATTATGGATAGTCTAAGGTACAGCCCTTTTCTGGTAGCAGTGTTACATGACTCACTCAGTATTAACCTGGATTTTTAGAAGAATCAACCTTTAATCCAATGAAAATGTGACTTCTTTGTACAAAATAAAATCATTTTATTAAAAACAAAATGCTTTAAAAGTGTTTAAAATTTACTAATCAGATTTACCAAAACCAGACACAGTTTCTTGCATTGCCTTGCTCTGTCCAATACCTCAGACATATTTCTGAGAGATGACCTCAAAAAAGCACAGTTCATTTTCTGTTCGATCTTTTTTCTGCTGAGAAAGGCCTGAGAACAAAAGTCAAATACAAAGGCAGTGTCTCTGAGACATTGATGTCTAGTCTAAACATTATGCAAAATACTAACTCTTTTCATATGGAACAAATCGTCATAAGAAAGCAATATTGTTTAGTAGCCTCCAGCCTGGTGCTATTCATTTTTTTTTTTTCAATGCTGCTGAAGCTAATTGGGGCTTCATGTAGGCTCTTTTGACCTACAAGCAGTTCTTTCCTGATGATGACTTGCTGAGAATGCTATCATTTCTTAAACTAGTATTATTATTCTTAAAGGTGAAAATGGACACTGGTAGATTAAAAAGCATTCTGGAAATACAGCAGTGGTTTCTATGTAGTTAAGGAGAAAAAAACCCACTCTGTTACATCTGTCACACTTCTACTTCAAGAGACTGGAAGAGTGGAAGACTTTCAAAAATTCCTCAGGCCGGAGTCATGTTTCCTTACAAGATATGTACAATTCCAGACATAATTGGTGATGTTCAATAACCAGCCACACTGTAATAGCTAGTTCATAAAAATGGGAATCCTATAGCAGCCAGAGGCAATTGTGTTGTTATTGTTAAACTTTATCATTTTTATTGTGTGCTAGAATCCTTGTACCAGTTTTCATTGCACACAAAGAACAATACTCCTGCCTCTTGTATGCACCATGCATTATTTAAAATGACAAGTGTTTCTACAATATGCTGAAACTTGCTTAAGATTTTGAGCTGACCAAACTTGAGCATAGTTTCTGTTCATAGGAAACATCTGTAAATCAGACCAAGTCACTCTCCAAACTTCTGCTGAACTGGAAACTCCTGGGAAGCTGCATCTGCTCAGTGCCATAAAGTGGTATCTAAAGATTTTGGAGTCATGCAGAGGTCCCAGTTTGCTTCATGAACCTCAGGGTCTTCAGCTTCTCAGATCCCATTCCCATGCCCTGGGGAGACTGGCCAGTATTCCAGGAAGGATCTCCTCAAGACCCTAAATTGGTGAAGGTTCATCTAAGACCAAGATGAACTTGATCAAATCTAATCTAATCAGAAAAATTGTATAACAGTCTTTAGTTAAAATAATTGAACTTATTTATGAATGCAGCTATGGATGGCTGCAAAACATTTCTTGTATGACTATAAACTATTGCTTTGAAAACCTGGCACAGTTTTGCCAAGAAATACCAAATCTGCTGCATATCAACCACATGAACTAGATTGAGAAATCTGAATCCCATACTGCAGCGGGGATCAGATACACACTTTAATTTGATTAAATCCTGGACATGTAATTTGGCTACATCTATTATGGGGGTTAGCTGGAAATTAAAACCTCTGAAATACTGAGATTATACTTACTAGAAACCAAGTAGCATAGTATAGGCATCTTTTAGCCACAAGTAATCCTATCTTGAGCATCTTTCAAAAGCATAATATATAACATGATATAAATACTGATAAAAATATCAGTTATAATAATCAGTGTGTGTGTGTTTAAGGGCAGACACAGTCTAGGAAAATAGTTGCGTTAGAATATAGGATACAGCCTGCCTAAAAATTATATGTAGTTTTTCTATTAAACCACATAGCAAATCTAATTCCCCGCCCTTTCCAAAGTTCACTAGAAAATGAAAAATATAACCCCAGTGATACTTGTCCATGAAATAAAATAACCTTGGGTGACCATATCTTGGAACATATGCAAGTGCACCTGAAATGTAGACTGACCATAACAAGGGTTTCTTAGATAACATCTGCTATTTATATCTGCATGGCTATTACAGTGAACCCTTAAGACTTCATGATCTTTATATATAAAGAAATCAGGATAACGTTCATATCCAGCAGCATGAAGCTGGATAGAGATACCTGTTGAGTGGCACCACTCTATGGAGACAACTTGTATCTCCACTTTTTGTTCAAGCAAGAATGTGTATATACAGCTCTATTTTTCCATCTTTCCTAATTATCATTGGCTTATGACAGGATCATCTGGACTTTTCTAGAGCTTCCCAAATCTGCCATCCACAGGCCATCACAGTCATTTTTTTGGAGAGGAAGGGGGCAGTGGGAGGGGATTGAATCTGTTCATTATTAGATACAATGTTCCTTCCAAAGAACAGAAAACATCATTATCAGTATGAATAATGAATCCATTATAGCAGAAGAAACATCACTTGATTCCTAATTCAATAACATACACTAATCTTTATATTCTGTGTTCACTCATCCAGTGAAGTAAGTTTCATACGATTTGATTTTACTTATTTAGCCCTGTAGTTACAATAACGAAATCAAAGCCAGGCAGGTTCCGACACAACACGCTACACAATGTATGTTAAGTGATGGTTAGATGCCACAGCAATTTTAAAAGGATGAGTTCTGAAAAGATGAAAACTTCATCATATATTATTGGATATAAGGGAAGTCAAATGCGTGTTCTTATACAGAGAATAAACACAGTCAATAATTTTCATAGCAGAAGCCTAAGCGCACCCACTGCTTTGGCAGTTTGTCAAAGCTTACACCTAGCTATCCGAGGAGAGCTCTGGTTTTACCTCCCTGCCAGGGCAGAATACAGGTAGCGCCTCCTAATGTAAGCCAGGATTTGCTCCTGTCAGGTATACCATCGAATAAGATTTATTAGATTTGCTTTGCGACTATTCTTCTGCTTAATCATTTACTCACGTAAGTGCCATATATTTTCTGTCACTTTTTCGGTGTAGGACAGAAAGAGAAAGCTTTATTTTTTCAGTTATGATTGCACTTATAATGAGAAGACATGAAGGACAGTCTAACACTGAAAGCAGAATATATATTGAGTGTCTCTCCAGTTACTGTCTAAAGGAATAAAGCCCATGTGGTTTCTTGGGAAACTCAGAGTTAGCTGCTATAGTATTCAGCAATATGAATGGATTTGGGCTTGAACCTTTATTCCAGATTTTCCCTCTCTTTTTTTCCTGGTTAGAATGAACCCTTATGAACATATATTACACTGCTGGGGAATAGAAAGGACTTACCTCTGTGTAGTTACAAGCTTAAAACCACTCCACCTTTGGCTCAGGCATATTTCTGGTTGCTAATACTGCCCCTTCCTGGTCAATGCCATTTCAAACATCTACTTTTTCATTCAGCTTCAGGAAGTATAGCACTTCATCTACCAGAAAAATTACCAATAAAACCTTCAAAGGCCTCCAGAGCATATGCCCAGCAATGGAAACTACGGGCCTGGTATTTGTTATCATTAGAACTGTATGCACTTGTGGAGCCCCTCACATATTGCGTATGAAAACTTCCCAGTAAGGAATAAATAGCAGCACCTAATTCAAGAACCAAAGGAAGTAAACTGGGGAATGGGAATGTTTTGCAGCTGCCCTCTTTCCACAGAGCGGCTCTGCAGAGAGCAACATACCTGTGTCCTGTGAGGGGCTGACACTGTAGCTGTCGCTTTCCTTATCCACTGATCCCGTAGGTCTTGGGGTGGGCAGCCTCCAGTCCGTGGTGAGAGTGTGGGCTGATATGGTGGGGTGAGGCCTGTTGAGGGTCCACTGGCTAGCATAGCGGTTGCGAGCAGTGGGGCCATTTTTTGCACTCCTCCTCGTGGTCGGATCTGTGATGGGTAACAGAAAGAGTCTTTGCCACTAGGCTCTTGAATAGACAATGGAAGGCGTCCTGTAGCCACTGAAATCATGGCCATCCACAAAAGTTTAAAAAAATGTTCTTTGTGAAAAAAAACAAAGAGTGAAATTACAGCTTAGTACAGAACAGCTAGTATTTATTTGAAATATCTTCTTTCTAATAGAACCATACATTTTAAAAAGAGTGCAAAGACCTGAGAGACTCAGTCAACTTCTCGCTGACACGTATTTCTCAATGGTTCGTTATCCCTTTACTCCAAGTGTAACCAGTTCCCCAGCACTACCTTAAGATCCAAAAGAGCACATGGCAGGTAGACCTCATTAGGAATTTCACACCGCATTGCACACTAATTCTAACCTAAATTAGTAGTCTAGATATGTTCTCAGAAACCTCTTACACCATCACCTGCTCTCAATTTGTAAAAATACATGGGAGGGAGTGACATGAGATTGCTTGGAAATGTGTGGGCATAAATTCCTATTCTGGGCATGGTATCAATAATTTTACTATATTAGGGTATTAATCAGCTACAGATTCAGTATTTAATTCAGCAGGTAACCAAAACTGTAAGATATAACCTATACTAGTGTCCTTGGCGTTTCAGTAGTAATCTGTCCCTAAAGATTGGACAGTTTGATTAAAGAAAAACAAAATCTCCTCAGCATTAAGAATTCATCTGCTACTCAGCAATATCTAACAAAACCAACCTCTCTGATTTTGTTAAGGATCAGAAATTCTTCTGTAAAATTGAGGCTTGGATTCCCTAATAAAGCTGTTTTTGTTAGAATAGAAAAATCTTTATTTGGCAAAGGGAAAGTGACTAAAACAGCACTGAAAGATTTCTCTTACAGGCTTCTAAAATGATATTAAAAAACAGTAGAGAATAAGAGTGTTAGAAATGAAAAATTTCAAGACTACTCAAATATTCTTTCATATTTAAATGGTGACACTGTCACTCTTTGGGGTGAGGAACTTGAGTAGAAGTAATTTAAAGAGAAAACAATACCCAGATAATGATTCAGAGCATTGCTTCTGCACAAGCATTCCCTATTAAGCATTTGTACCCTGTTGCTTCAAAGGAACAAGTTACTTACTTACAGATAGCAACTATGGCCTGTTCCCTCTCCTATTTCACATCTGCCCATCACAGCAGTGGAAAAATATGAACTCAGTACCATTAATCCTTCCAGTAGTGCAACAGATAGCAGTAGCACGTGAATACGATCCAAAAAAGCACTTGGCCCAAAGTGACCCATCTGTCAGTATAAACCACTGATTGTAGCCGCTCTGGAAAGCCAGCGTATAAACCACGGATTGTACCAGCTCTGGAAAGCCAGCGTGTGGCTTTTCGGTAACCACAAGTGCGCGTGCTGCCTGCTTGGAAAGAGGACACTATGGACAGACTCAAGGTGCCAGTGCGAAAATTCGGTGCTACTTTCCTTACCACTGCACAAGGCAAGAGACAACCCAATTGCTTGCAGAAGATGCTATCCCACTTGCAGAATAGATGCCGTTGCATATGCACAACATTTACTCTTCATGCTATAGAGTATTCACAGGTGTTCAAATCACCAGCAGCCTCCTAGGTGAAGGGCCTGGGCTGAAGGCCAAACCACAACCTCCACTGCCCTGCAGCATCCACAGCTTCTTAGAAACTGTAGCGGAGTCCAGGGGAGAGTTCTACTGCTTGGATGGCCCCACTTCCCATGATGTTTAACCCACCATCCTGCAGCATGAGGGGCTGTATCCTGCAGGGGGAGATCCAAGCTCACCCTTGTAGGGCATCATCCCCTTCTAGGCCAGAGGCTTTCCATTCTTCTGCTGTCTAGCTTCCTTCTTTCCACTTTCCTTTTCAGAGAAGTGAGAACTGATCTCACCTAGTTGAGAAGAAAGATGTTCTTACTTCTATATGTTCCTGCTTTGGATTGTTTGGAGAAGATGGCTGGACTCCAGGAAGGCCTTAGGGTACTGAGACACAGTCTTCTCTCACGGTTTGAAAGACAGTCAGGGAGTCTGCTTTCGGGATGCAGCAGGGCAGGGCTGGCCCCGCTGAACCTGAGATGCACAGTAGGGCTGCACGAGCTGCATTGTGCTTGCACAAGGAGCTCTGCACCACATATCCAGAGAGCTTGGCTGCCCATGCAATTGGAAGCAGCACACACCTGGTGCCCTTGCTATTACAGCAATGCGGCTAGAAATATAGGAGTAGACACTGCGGTGAGCAAGAGGAATATACATTACAGCATACCTCTCTTGAAAATAAGTATAAAGGAATTAGACGACATCTTAGGGCTGTTGTGGCAATTTGACATCTGAGGGTGCAGGAGCGCTCAGAACCCTTTGAGTGAGGGGGGAGAGGGACAGCCTCTGAGCTATGCATCCTGCACAAACAACCAGACATCAATTTCCTCTTAATGGAGAAAGCAGTGAATCTTGTCAAAATCTATGGCCCAGCTTCTATCAAAAAATCAGTGAACATTACACAGTGAACATTCAACCCAGCCTTGGCTGCAGTGCTGCAATCAGATCTCTACTGAATAATAACACGAACAGTGGATTTCTATCTCCAAAGCCAGGCTAGACACCCTCAGACCTGTGCTAAATCCCAGTTTAATGTGAGGGGAGTCTATCATTGACTTCAGTGGTCTGAAGCACAGAACTGCACAAAGAAGACTGATTTGTAATGGAGGATGCTGGTTCACTAAAATATTCTCATATGAGACAACCAGGCAATTTGGGGGAACTACCTCTTTCCTTATTAAAAATGTTAAGATTTGAAAACAATGGAGAGTCCATTGCTTACTCAGATAATCTCAAACTGCAAATATGATAAAAAGTGGATGATATTTTTGCTCTTACCAGACAAACTAACCAGAGAGAAAACAAATGTTGTATCTTAACTCTTCTAATTCAAATGGCATAATGGTCTATAGATAAATAGGCAATCTATAGATAGTCTATAGATAAAAAGGGCAATCTTTTTTTAATACCTTTAGCACCAATGACGGTCTTAACTGAGTGTTCAAGAAACAACTAATCACAACTTAAAACTTGCCAGAAATAGAAAACTGGCAAGGTCAGGACTATAACATCAATGATTTAAAAAGACTAGATGAAAATCAAGATAAAATGAAGATTTTACAAATAATCTGTATTCCAAATAATGCGCAACTTAGTGTTTAGCACTTACTCACCAAGTAAACAACTTCTGAAACTGTATGGAATAGAGATAATCTGATAGATTTTATAAATTGTGCACTGTTAGTGAACTACACTCCTGTAATATTCCTGCCTCATAAGTATTCCTTAGATTTGGTAAATTTCTTTTCCATTTGCAAAAATATGGCACATATGCATGAGAGAAATTTAAAAGAATGGATTGCAGCAGGGTATTTATTATAGCATTTTAATCATTATAAGAATAACTCAGCAAGAAGATAGCTGGGAAGAGTAATTTACTATAATAACTAAAAGTAGAAATACAACCTTTTCAAAAAAGCAATAATCAGAAATGTATTTCTTTCCTGATGGAGGAGTAAGGATAGAAGATTTATTTTGAAATGCAATAAAGAATGATCACTAAGAAAAAAAATAGACATTAAAAGCCATTAAGCTAATTCACTCAATAAATTATAGAAACTAAAATTTATCATGCATTTCCTGTAGTCAAGTAGGAATTATTTCAAATTAAACCTACACTTTAGATGCATATGCAATTTATAGTTTTCTCCTCTCCAGGTATATATTCTCTTATATGCTTACTTGTTCCTGGTCGGGCATCAGAAACATCCACCAGCGGTCCTGTAGCTTGTGACACAGATTGGTAATGTACTGTGTGAGTGACGGTCAGTGACTTCTGCTTAGATGTCTCTCCAAAATCAGCATCAGTTAGCAGAACTGTTGATCTGTCATCTATAAGTAAGTAAAACAAAACAAAACAAAAAATACAAATACTGAACAACAAATTTCACTTTTGTCGTCAGAACACAAATTAGTCCCCAGACTTATTTTTATCTTGGTTCCACCATGAAGCTAGCATCCCCCAGTCTCTGCAAGACTTTAGATGGCTTTGAGGGGTGTACTGCAGTTTGGGAACTTCTGGGTTCATTTCTCAAGTTCACACAAAACTAAGGAATAACTGTATCTTTCATGTCTTTATTTCATATTATAGATCTACAACAATAATAAGCAATTCAGCGTACTTCCAAAAAAACTCCATTGTGCCTAATTATTTTTGGCACTAACCACCTCCTTCTTTTTCACTGTTTAAAAACTGCCTTCTCTGCCTTCATTTTCAAGGAACTCAGTTGTGCTTTCCAGCAACATACTCAATTCTTTTCTTTTTGTTAACATAATTAGTGAAGCCCTTGGTGATATCACTGACATCCTCTCCAAAGGAGGCTGTTAGATAACATCTGTGACCTTTACTAGTCAGCTTTCTTCCCCATAATCAAAACATTGCAGAATGATGGCCACAACCAAAGAGCATTCTTAAGGCCCTGCTTATCTTTAAGCACCTGAAGACTCCTAGTGAAGGCAGTGGAAATAATTCCTATGGGGAAACGAAGCCCAGTTTTAGTGTTTCTTGTTCTACAAGCTAAGCCCTACCATCTCTCTCTGCACCAGAGTCTTTCCTGCAACAAATCTCACTATAACAGGTGCAAAGCAGAAGACTTTGGAAACCTAAATGCAAGTGATGAAAGTTTGTTGCAGACTAGTCAGTCCTAATGACTGTGGGCTTTCCTTCAATGCAAAAGAATAGCAGGAGATGAAACCAAACTTTGGGAAGGACTGGAAAGAAAAGGTGAGCAGTGACTCCTATCGCTGCATGGCTTTGCTGCTTTTCGCTCCATACAGAGTGGGACATATTAACCAAATTTCTGCACAGACCTTGCTCCCTGTGCTTAACTATTTTTTTTTCAGCTCAAATTGCAGTTGTATTTCTGTCTCTCCAAAAAGTATGTGGTCCATTCGATTGTAAGAGGTTTAACAGCAGTAAATCTTCTGCTGACTTTGTGTTAGCAGAACAGCTAGTTGCATGCGATCAGACTTTCTTTTGCATTCTTTTCAGTCTTTTTCACCTGTTCACAATAGCAATAAAAGCCATAAAAACTTCCCACTATGCTATCCTGTAAAGCTTTGCAGTATATTTCTAAGTGGACCAGCACAAATGGGGCTTCTGCACATTTAATAGTCAGCAGAGGCTGATCCACTTCTTCTAAGCATTCCATTTCTTATGACTTGACGGGAGATCATTAATGTGAACAGTTCTGCACAATATCATAACTAGCATTTTTTACCCAAAGAAGGCCATAAATAGAATGAGCATTATGAAATCAAATTAGCCTGTCTCTGGGAAAAGATGAACTCTTATTCAGGTTGAGAATAAAGCCTCTTGGCAGTAAACTATGTCAAAGCCTGCCAAAATGCCTTCTTATTCTGACTGGCTTTGTACAGTGCAGGCTATTACCAAGGCGCTGACCACATTGCTAGTTAAGGCACTAAGGGTATTTCCACTATACACCCCTATTGCCCAGCAACTATAAATCTAAAGTAAAGATTGTCTTGAGGATGAAGCCTGGCACAAAAGATTGCATCACAGAAGCAAAGTTTAGGAAGCTCAAACCAGAATTAAAATAAAACTGTCTGTTCTTCTGGGGAAGTGTTAGTCTCTCCTTCAAATCCACTGCTGTAAACTGTGAAGCGTATCACGGTGTGACAGTGCTGGGGGCTAACACAGAGTGTTTCTCCCCAGTCGCTGGCATGGCCAGGGGACCCAGAGATGCACTGTGCTCCTCCCAGCTTGCCAAGGCTGCACCAGTCATGGCCTCTCTTCTTCTACATAGATTTTAATCGAAAAAAAAAGTCACAAGTACAACCAGATCAATCATTTTTGGAAGCTCCTGACGCAGTGTGTACCCACATAGCCATGAGATCAGCTTGTATTTTTATTCTGTTGAGACTCCAGGCATCTTGTGCTGAAATTTTTTGAGACAAATAAACAAGACAATTTTCAAGACATTTCAGCTGTGTGCCAGGCACACTAGAAATCTAGTTATCTGGCATAGACAGTCTTTTCAATCTGAAATTTGCATGGATGCACAAAAGTTAAAAACAGATCAAACTGAATAAATAGAGGATATCATTTGATATTAGCAGGTGGATAGGATATGTAATGTATAGTTTTAGAGGATATCTGTTGCAAGGCCTTAATACTAAGTAGTGTCAAAATTTCATTTTCCTCTTTAGTAATACAAATGATCAAACTGTCTAGTGAAAGTAAATTAAGAAATCAAGCTGAAAATAATAAAACTGCCAGTCTTCTTTTCCATTTTCCTCAAGTAGTTCTTTACACTAGCTTCATTTTCCTGCTGTCTTGCATTAAGTACTGCAACTATATTACTTACCGTGGAAAATGATCTAAAGGAGAGACAGCAGGACAATTCACTATTCAATTGTGACAAATGACCCCACAGCTCTTTTTGCTTGTGTGTTGGAAGGGGGAAAAGGGATGAGGTAAAAGAACCCCACCTAAATTTCCTGCTACAGAAATCAGTGAAAACAAGCACAGGGAGAGTTTACCAATGGTCTCCATCGTGTCCCTCTCCTCAATCAGGAGTTGTGCTCTGGGAATGTCTATGTGCATCCTCAGTGTTTGCTGCTGCTTGTTAAGTGTATCCGATGTCCTTGTATTCTTGCTAAAAATAAAAGAAAAGCAAACATATTAAAATTCACTATAGATGAAAAGGTATGTAAACACCTCCTCATTTCTAATCCATGCAGCTCAAAATAAAACCAGAATAACCACAATAAGCAAAATTCTCATGCATTTTATTTTCCCCTAACTTAGAGCATCTAACAAGGCAGTTAATGAAAGCCTGATGTTGGCTCTAATTCTTTTTCAATAGGATCTGCTGAAAACTTCATACATTTTTCTTCATGTGTTGTGACATAATGAAATTGATAAAAATGCTTTGTAAAACTGGTCTCTTTTATTCTTCATGAGTGTAAGTAAAGAAATATGTAACAAAAAAATAAATAAAACAGGTTGGAAAGAAAATCATGTCTTGTAGTAATTTCTTGTAGGCATTATTTTTTGCCAGATAAATTTCAAGTAACAGCGAAATAGATTTTTTTTTAAATAATAACTAGGAATTCCATTAATATTAATAAACTGAATAAAAATAAATAAAGCTTTTAATTCCACTGTCCTGGCAAGAGAAAGAAATTACAAGTCTTGTTTACATTCGTGGATTATTTCTAAATGATTGATGCAATATTCTGAAAAAAAAGGAATATAAAACAATTACTGTATCATCATGCAAATTGAAACAATTTCATTTTGAAGTTTGTGTACCAGAAAATTACTACTTAAATGAGCTGTCTACCTAAAGCAAATGAAAATGGATAATAAAACTGAGTGTTACAATCATTTCCAGTATAGAGCTTACACCAAAAAATCTTCAGACTGCACCAAAATTCCAGGAACTTTTTGCCCTCCACATGTAATTACTCTTTGCAGGAGATAAAATATTTGCAAATACATGTTTATGCAGGGAGACTAAAGGAAAGTTAAGGCAAATCAGCTAATGGGCTGCTCTTAATATTCACACAACAAAGAGTTTTAAAATCCAAGTGGTGGTTCATTTTATGGTGCAAAGTAGCTGTACATCATTCAGTTTAATCCTCCTTTGGCAATGACTTATTGTTATTAATGAAATCATCAGAGGACTATTAAACCACTTGAGGATAAATTCACTTCTTTCCTGAGTGAGGACCTCTGCACAGCAGTTAAATGCACTTGGATACACATGTGTTGAGATCACATCTCTAGGTAATTTGCCTTAATTTTCTGCAATGTCTCCATGTGATCAAGACTTAGGGAGCTCAAGTTTGAGGGTTCTCCTAGAGCCTTTTAAGAGGAATTTCGTTGTCACACAACAGTAAGTAATCCTGCCTTAAATCCATAAAAGCTAGTAAGATTGATAAGGCACAGGGGTACACCTATCTGGCAGACTCTCACCTTGTTGCAGTTCTGATTGATAGTACAGATAGTTAAAATTCATTCAAGCAGTCTACAGCTGGTGCCTTGTTTAATCATTATGAAAGCAAAATATCAGGAGAGCTACCCAGGGCTCCCAGACTTGTCTCCATATACAATCAATGGAGAATATTAGTCAACATGTATTATTAACTACATAAAGATTCAAGGACATTTAGGATCCTAACACACAGATAAATTCTGCAAAACTGACTTCCCTGAAGCCTCTGCATAGGTTAGATGCCACTCTGCTATTGTTCTCCAAGCAAGTTGTTGAAATGTTAAAAGAATCATAGACTGATAAATTATCTGCATATGATACATGCCTCAAAACAGGCCCTTGAACAGTTAGGATGCACTGGAGTTTCCATACAGCAAACCTGTGATCAGGTAGAAAACTGAATTTGTGGCGATCCACATTAAATCAATAATCAATAAGCCAAAAATGATTGGATATATGCAATCATGTATGTATATAAGTACCTCAAGGGAGGCAGTGAGGAGGATGGTGCTGGCCTCTTTTCGGTGGTGGCCACTGATAGAACTAGAGGAAACGGCCAAAAACTAAAGCACCAAAAGTTCCACAGGAACTTAAGGAAAAATTTCTTGACAGTGAGGGTGACAGAGCACTGGAACAGGCTGCCCAGAGAGGTTGTGGAGTCTCCTTCTCTGGAGATCTTCCAAACTTGCTTGGACACAGTCCTGTGCCACGTGCTCTAGGTGACCCTGCGTGTGCAGGGGTGTTGGACTAGATGATCTCTAGAGGTCCCTTCCAACCTTAAGCATTCTGTGATTCTGTTATATAATCTGTTCAGTCCAGAACTGAGTCCACCAACTGTGCCTTTACTCCTCCTCTTCCACTCACCAGGGATGCAGGAGGCACATTCACATTATATAGTGAATTGCAGAGAATTAAAACCCCAGAATCCCTGATAAAGCTAGCAGGTTTTTGGCATTATGAATATTCTGTACTCTTGCAAAGTATTCAGATGTGCAGGAAAAATTACTGTGACAGAAAGCAAGAGGACAATTCTCCAAGTTTGTGACTGCATGACTGCAAAGACAGAATTCTGAATTCCAGAATTTGCTCCAAGAATGGTTTAATGCAAAATACAAGACAAGTCCTTCAAGGCAGAACTGAACTGCAGAACTCTGTATTCGGGAAAATTCCCTAAATTTGAAAGTTTTATATTGTCTTGTGTGATATCTTTCCTCCTTCCTGCTGGCTTAATTAATTATCTGACCAGCAGCATGGTGACATGGAGTGTCCAAACACAGAATAGGCAATGACATTAGCAAACTGGCTCCAGCTTTTTAGAACGATATCTCTTTCTGGCTCAATGAACTTTGAATTATTTTCTGCAGATTACAATAGCTTAACTTTTTAAGGTGTAACAGCCTGAAGTGCCAACAGTAATTAAGTGCCTCTTGGACTTGGCAGTGAAGCAGAGATTTTTAGGACTGCAGTTTTGACGTTTGGTGTCCAAGTATTTTCTAATCTAGGAAAATCCAGACACACAAGAATATGTTGGATGAGAATTCCAAACATTATTTCTTATAAAGGGAGAAATCATGCCCAGCTATATTTTCATTAATCTACAGACATAAAATTCTAAGACTTAATTGAATGTATGCTATGGTTACTATTGTATAAAACCCTTCAGACTTTGTAACGATCTGTGCATAATATAGATCATTCCCTCTGGTTCAATAAATCTCTCAGCTCCAAATCTCTAGACTGGAGAGTCTATCTGGGGAATGAGCAAGTACATTCTCATAGTCTTTTACTCTATCCAGGTGTGTGCTTTTGGCCACCATGAAAGACAAATACCAGGGTAAATAGACCTTTGGGATCTGATCCAGTACAACTTTTATTCAGAGTCTGTAGATAAATATCTTTTTTTTTTTTTTCCCTAAAGAAAGTTCAGTGTATAATGTATTTTGAAAGAGCATGCATATTCTCTCTTTAAACAGTCTTTCTAGTTCTTTAATTAAAAAAAAAAGCTACCAAGCTAGTTATGTGAAGAGATTAAACATGGTGCCCTGTAAAACCAAAGTCATTCTGAGTGATTGGCAGAAAGTCAGAGTACTTCATCACTTCCTGATGTCTAAGCTGATAAAAACATATGGAAAACTGTATCTTGTAAATAATAGGCTAGGCAGGGGGTTATTCATGGAGAAAAGATTCTCTATATTCAAAATCAGAAAGCTGAGTCAATTGCTATGCTAATTCACCATGAGCTATCACAAGAAAGTTAGCTGGGTCTATGCTGTGACCCAAAAGGCACATAAGAAAGGTGAACTCAAATTGCAAGAGGGTTTTTTATTTGCTAATTTAGGGTATCAGCAACAAGTTGTGCAATTTTCTATAAACTAACTGCTGGGGTTTACCCTGCTCCCCAGACATTTGACTTGAATCCAGAGACTTTCAAAGCAAAGACCGAAGCTCCATTCTTAATCCTCTTTACATACACTCATAAAAATCTCCTAAAAGGAGAAGATGCACAAAGTTCTCCCTCTTCCCTCGAGGCAGGGAATGGTATCTTTTCTGCTTCCTGTTCAGTACATTAAATGGAAAAGCACAGCCTACAACATACCCTCTTTCTTGGTATTTTTATCATAGAAGATTTCAGTAAAATCTAAAAGATATAAAACAGCAAGAGCTTTCTGTTACCATGGCTTTGGAGAGGACTTATTATCCTTTAATTACTGACATGCTAAATCTTCAGGAACATCTAGACATCTAGTGATAGTGGGTGGCTCAGCGTTTGGCTGACAATATTTCACAAATGCATCAGAAGTTACTGAGCATAAATTAAATAAATGAGAATGGGGGAAAGCAAATTGATTAAATTTCTTGCTCATGAAGTGCAACCTAAAATAAACAGTTGCAGACCACAGAAAACCATCTTACAGCTAAAGTGTGGGTCTGCTCAGGCGAGGGTAGGTAAAGGAGCTTTTTTGAAGGATGGCATTGGCAAAGGAATGAATAGGTCAAAAACAGACCCTTATGTCAGTAGACAGAGCTTTCTAATGGTCAGAGATTCTGCATTGGCTTTCCAGCAGTGGTGATAAGACCAGTAAAGCTCATCAGGCTTAGCACACTGTAAGCTTTACCAGTTTTGTGTAGATATGTATGGGTTACCAGAAGACAGACTGAATATGGAGATCTAGGAGTTTTAGTTCATGCCATAATGAGTTTCTTTAAAGAATAGACTTACCACATATGATAAGTAGTGCCATTTTCTGTGACATGAAAAGATATCACATATATCTTCTTGGCACAGTTTATGCCTAAAACTTACTGCTAGCAGGGTTTTCTAAGTCAGAGATAAAAACACTGTGACTCACTAAAATCGGTGGGACTATTCGGATGTATTTGTAGACTGATAGTTTAGAGCTGAGTTTACACTAAATCCATCTGTCATGATGTGCTGGATAAGTATATTCTTACAATAGCAGGTAAAGTTTACCATGGCTGAGGAAGTATAGAATTTAGTTCACTTTGTAAGATATCTGTAACTTCCTCAGATTTGTTGCTTAAAAGTGAAGAGATTTTTTAGAAAACCGAGGTTCATTTGAACTTAGAAATAATCCCTTGGTGAGCCCACTTTCAAATATATGCAGTGGTTATGAAGTTCAATATTTTCCCCAGACAAAACAATAAACACTGAAGCTATGAAATTTCCATCTTTGAAAGAATTGTGATGCCAGAATAGTCATTCTTTTGCAGTTCGACAACAGAATTAGATTTCTGGATGGTTATCTGACGGAACAAACCTGAAAAATAACAAATGTATTTTCCTACTCTCACATACCTTAGGGTAAAAGCAGCTAGCAATAATGAATTACAAAAATATAACCATAAAGTTTAAATACTTGCTTCCAGGCACAAACTGCCTTCAATCAGAAGATCTCTAAAGAGCAATTACTGTGGTGTATATTTTGAAAACATCTTTGTGAATAGGAAAAATATCCAGCCGGACCTACATATGTTCTGTAATTTAATCTACTAATATAAGAGTTTTCAGTTTTTTAGCACTGCATTCCCTTACAGATACTATCTCACAAATTGTCTCGTTTCTCCAATTTCCAACCAGTGATGTGTCCTAATTCTTAACAAATAGCCAAATGGTGTGCTTTGAGAAAGGATACCTGAGAGGTTTTGTCTCTATGATCATTTTTAAATATGATGCCATAATTGACACATAATTTTCAATTTAAAAATATTAAATTTATTCTTACCTCATAAGCATCTCAGCCAAACTCTTTGCATCTAAAAGAAAATGGAACAAGTGTCAGCAGTTGGTATTGTCTGTGTTATAAATAAAATTCCGTTTGATAGATGGATTATTAGGAAGCAAGTGATTTGAATCAGACACATATAAAAGACTACTGTCATTTCTCAGATCGGTAGCAAAGATAAAACAGGCTTTAAAAGACCCTACTTTTGTTGAAACTGCATTTGACTATACTATCTTTCTGCCCAGAGAGCCCTGATCAACTCCCGACTAGCAACAAATGTGCTTAGAGACCTATAAGCTACCTTTGGCTTTGAAGAAACGTCAGCATGGAATAAAATAGAACTTAACTTTAAAAAGCCAAGAAGCTCCCTAGAAGAAGAGAGAGACAGTATAACAAATAACAGGACTCTGTTCCTTCAACACCATAGTTATCAAGTGAGTGGTAGAGGAAGGAAAAATACGAAAGAATACGAAGATATGGCATCCATCTCTGAGCAGGAACAGAACTGGAGCTGGACGAGTCACTGCCAACCTGTCATTTCTGCACCAAACCTGACTGCATGGAGGTTTGAGCAAGGTGAGTCTCCAAGGAATCAGCTTGTTTGGTTGTTGTGACATGTCTGTGCTTCTCTACTAGCAATAACAGAAAAATAATTTTGTGTCTTGAGAGGACAAAAAATAGGAAGTACCTTATTCCCATATGTATCAGTCCTGCAAAATGAGGGACGAGGGAAGGAAAATTATTCCTGTTGTTGCTGTCATTACTGTTGTTATTAACATAGAGTCTTTTGGAATATCATTATTCTGGTGAATATCAGATTAAAGGACACAGTCAAAGGTTGGTAGAACAACCTGGTTCTCTGGGTAGCTATTCTAAACCTTCATCAACACAAATAATTCCTGTGGGATTATTCAGCAAAAATAGACAGCTACTCTTTGTTCTCCTACATTCACCCCCTCTAAACAAACTCATTTAAAAATCCTGAGTCTGGGTCCTTAAGTACACAACACAGCACACAGAGTATAGTACAAAGTTACTTTTTGTGTAGTCAAGCGAAACAAAGAAGAAAATAACTCCAAGTTTCAAGTCTTCAAGGAACTCTCCTGTCGTGTGGAACTTTAAGTAATGAAAAAGGTTTCAAAAGTAATGCAGAGAAGATAAAAGACCAGTAAATGCCCTAAAAGGTGACCGTAGATCTATGGGCAGAAGATATAAGAAGAAATTTAAAGTTCCATATGACACTTCTTGGGTTTCCTAGAACAACTTAACTTTCCTTGATTATGATCTGATTAAGTATCTTGTCTTTAACACTCAGTGAATGTAGCCAGAAATAAAACACCATCTTAGTGTGTCATTCTGTCTATATTTGTAATCATTTTAAAAGGAATGGACAAAAGTCTTTTTTTTTTGTAAAAAAGTACTTCCAAGGACTTTCTACATTTTTTTTTTCTCTGAAATTCTGCCAACTTGTCTCTCTTAGGCTTTATTCCTCATCTCTTACAAGATGAAACTCTGTGCTTCCTCTGAACCTGTCTGTTCCACTCTTTTAGTTTTGATCTTTCCCCATCACTTTTCAATACAAACCACGGCATATTCCTAGTGGAGGGAAAGATTCTTTATTTGAGAAGCCGCATTTAATCCAAACAATGTACTCACAGAGCCATTCTATTTTTCACTCAGCCTGGGAAAGACTTTTGAACAGTCTTGTAAAGTAGCACTGCATAATAATGTTACATCAAGATGACAATGACTTATCTTCAGTCATAAACCAAACTAACAGTATGTTCCTGCTCCCAAGTGACACCAGTGATCGCTTTTGCTGATGATTTGTAAGGGAGTTAGTTCTTGTGAAGAATACCAGAAAAACAAAGTTTACAGTTTTTTTTTTCCTTTTCCTCTTTTTTTCAGTAAATATTATGATGCTACTTGTTATTCTTGCAGCACCAAGATCATGAAGAGACTCAATGCACACATTTTCCCTCTGGCACACTTAATAATCATGATTTAATATCCACATATTTCTTTTGCTGTGTTTGCAGCCTTTCCAAAGCAATGATTACCTCCTTAAGGGAAGACTACAGATACTTGAGCAAGTAGTTCAGCACTCATAAAAAGTTAAGTGGACACAATTAAAGGTTGACTGACCTAATGTCCTTCAGCTTGCTTTCTGTATTTGTTTACCGGAACAGCAACAACAACAAAAAATCTTAATGGGATTTTCCAGCCAAAAATGCTGTAGAAATGCTGGGAACCCAAAATTCTTAAATGTATCACACAGCAATAATGTGACTTGTATATTTAGATAATCATCTAATTCTTCCTTCTCCCTTTTTCTTTTGATGCACTTTTCCAACATAGATTTGATCCTAGCTACCCTGTGCTAATCATTTGTTATGGGTATCTGTTATAAAAAATCAAAGATTGGGTACCCCAGAGTAGATGTTTTTTCTACCCTAAATTCCCTTTATCATCAGCCAACATCTAGTCAAAAGTGAAGGAGCATAGGACATGATACATGTGACCATATTAAGGCCTTTACTTAGGTTGAGATGAATCCTGCCTGGCCCTCCACTGATATACTAACTAGATTACCAGAGTGGGTGACCAGCTCAGATACATTTAATTAGTTTAATGAATCCCATTCCAGGATCCAAACACTCTTGTGCCTTTTACCTACAGTTAAAAAAACACACCCTCCCACGTTCTAAGATGCTGCACAGCATTTTCTGATGTTTCATGGTACATGTAGAAAGAATATTACTTTTTCATCATTAAACATATGATTTCATGTTCAAATGCACATATCGTAGGTGGAAGAAATACAAAAGAGAGTGTTTGCACATCTTCAACAAAAACACCATGAGGGGTCATGTTATGTGTTAAAAAGGTAAGTGAGAAAGTATTCGAAAAATAAATTGCAACATCATGGTTTTAGCATACCAGTTTTTCAAAGTTTGTTACAAGAGGTAGTAGCCTTAGCATATAACAAAAAAGAAAGAAAGAAAAAAAAAAAGATAGCTGTACTGAGCAAATAGTTCAGAATATGACTGGGCCAAAAGAAACATCCTGAGAAAATAAAGTATCATCTACACCTTTTAAAGCAAAACCCAGAAGTCTAAGGTAACTGAATATGTGTGTCCAAAATATCAGAAGAAATGCTCATACTAACGAGTATATAACGAGTATAGACTGCTAGTTCCAGTATGCATTTTGTACATAACACTTTTCATCACTGAATTGAGAATGTGTCATAAAATAAGTCCATTACTCAAACTGTGTCCTATTTTTCAGGTTTCTGGTGGGGAAAACTGGTTTGGAAGGGCTAGGAATGACACACTGAAGATGACCATCACTTGCCACAGCCAGGCACACATCCTTTAGTGAAAAAACTGAAGACTATTAGGTTTCCCTTCACAGGGGGTTTGACACATGACTGCACAGAGGGATACGCAGCCGGAGACAGCTCTCGCTTCCATTTCCTGGCTCAGCCTTCTTTAAAATTCTTAACACATTCGGCTTGCCACTTGGGAAATCAGAGGCCGTTCCACAGTTTTAAACTGCATGCTGCCACTTTGAACTATCATGCGGTATTGATGCTTTCTGCTTGGCTTAAGGTGAGTTGAAGTTAAAAGCAAAGGGAATGCTATTTCACTTGTGTTGCAGCTCGGTTAATAGTGGAGAGGAGTGGTAAGTCATCAGATTTTTTTGTTTTAATACACACTGATGTACTGAATTGCTTTATGAACGCCAGCAGTCAATTGTCTTCCTTGTGCCTCACCAGTAGAACCACTAAATTGGGCAAAGACCAAGGCTGCTGAAAATTACAAAAGTACAAATTACAATTACCATTCTAAATACACTATTCCTGGCAAAATAAACATGCTACATGTGTCACAGTAGGAAGACTAATTTTTGGCTGTCTCTACATATTAAAACATACTTTAAAATGACTAAGAATGCAGATCATGCTGCTCTGCACTTACACTTAGAAGGTTCCACTACGGGGACTATTATTCCCTAGACTACAGGAAAGTCACTAATGGCTTTAGAATCATGATTTAGTAGAAATGTGTCCCCTGGAGGAAAACAAACAACCACCACCAACACCACCACCACCAATAAACCCCCAAAACCCGGTAATATGTATATCATAACAGGCAACAATGACATATAGTTTCCTCTTCAAAACTAATTCAGAAGACTGTTGAACACAGGTACAAGTACAGCAAAACATTTTCATCTGGAAAACTTACTTGTAAGAACTTTTTAGGAAATTTATTAAGGAGGTCTCCAGAACAGTAATATCATTTGTCAAGACTTTTAGAACATCACACAATTTCCCTAACAGCATAAAACAGTCGGCACTGAGCCAGTCTTTATAAAAGTTTAACAACAACAACAACAAAAAGAAGTACTACTGGGCACAAGATCGCATACAAGCTGGAATACAAGCCACAGTTGCACAATGGAGAACATTTTCTTTTACTGCAGTCAGAGAATTTTGAAGTAATCTCAACAGATAAGAAGTTAAACACAAACTCTTAATGCAGTACTGTCGTCAAATGTGATCCTCACAGGTTGGGGAAGAATACCAAGAAGAAGAGAGGCTGCTACCTCTCTATCAGGGATATCTGTGTCTACTGCTTGCATACTAAGTTCATTTCTAGAATACACAGGTCAGGCAAGCTACTGAAAGTTTGCAAAGGGACCAGCAAAAAGTCATCAAATGAATGAAAGATTGGAAGTCTACAGTGAAAATCATTTAGGTGGGTCTGGGAAACTATCAGACACATTTATGTGGATGACCAATTGCTTCAGTATTATTACTCAGTGTGATGTGAAAGGGTTTTTATCCAAATATCTCCAAAATGAGGCCTGCTATCATATGTACTATAATAAACTCAAGTACAGTAGAAAACCAGCAGTATGGGCTGCAAAGTGTCAGAGAGACAAGGGTTCAAAACTTTGTTGTGTTGTAGTATATGCTCAGCTAGAGCATATACTAGAAGACTAATAAAGCTGTTTGAATCCATAGATCTAAAACTCCCATAGAAAACACTTGAATTTCAATAAAGATTAGAGAAAAAGACAGGTCAGCAGCAAAGTAAATGAGACAGATTTGAATAGATGATTTGAAAACCTTCTCATCTGCAGTGAGCAACGAAACATTGTTGTGATAGTTCCTCTATAATGTATCATAGGGAAAATGATGTGTTACTACATCTCAGAACATCTTGAAAGCAGAAACACCCTCCAACTCCAGAACACCTCATTTAGCCCTTAAGGACCATTCACAGGGAGAAGAAAGAGAGAAAGAAAGAGAGAGAGAGAGAAAGAAAGAGAGAGAGAAAGAGAGAAAGAGAGAAAGAGAGAAAGAGAGAAAGAAAGAAAGAAAGAAAGAAAGAAAGAAAGAAAGAAAGAAAGAAAGAAAGAAAGAAAGAAAGAAAGAAAGAAAGAGAAAGACATGAGAGCTATTTTCTTTTCCCTCCTGCAAAATCAAAGTTTACAGAATGCGTGCAAAGTTTTTAGAAACTTATTACAAAATGAAAAAGAAGGAATTTCTGTGAAAAATACATATGATTTACCTCGTGTCTGTAATGTATTACAGGAAAATGATGTTAACTGGTGTTTGCTTGTGGGCAGCCACACTTGCTCTTTCATATAAGGGGAGTACACTTACGTAGGGGTAGGTACCACATGGCTCCTCTTACCTCGCAGCCTCTTCAGCCTCTGCTCCCTCCTCCTCCTCCGCACAATCAGCAGCATCACAAAAAGCAGCAAGACCCCAACCAAGATACAGGAAATGGTCACCAGCATCTTTAGCCCTTCGTTGGTTGCCAGCCCTTCCTCACTTTGCACAACTGACTTAATGAGTGGAGGGATTGTACCTGGAAACAGTGTCATGATATTAGATGCCTATTAATGAAGACAAAAGATTGAGTTCTCAGGGACTATAGCACATTATATGTTTCAGCCACATGCAAAACATTAAAAAGGATTTGTCCTGTTCAGGATGGATGCTATATTTGTATGTAATGGCAATAGCCACCCACAGATAATCAGTCACACTGAAAACAAACTGCTGATTGCAGAGAGAGTGCAGAGAGAGCTGCAGATTATTGGAAATGGAGAAAACACGGATTTATTGAACATGTCCTATTTTAGGACAGAAAATTCAAGAGGGAAAGCCATGGCCGTTACATAGGCAAATGCTACCATTAATTTTAAATCATATTAAACCATTTAAAACTGTAAGAGATCTCAGACCTACTATCTATTTATATTATTCTTTACTATGCAAAATAGTACTGCCGCAACAGATTTATGCTCTCATCTGGGCTTTATAAGGAATATATTTCACAATCTCCATTTTGTGCTGCATATATCAGATCATACCTTTACACAGAAGTATTTTTATGTCATGTTTTAGGGATGCAGCACTGATATTGATCTTAAATTCAGATATCCCAAGTGATGCTAATTCACTAAAGATTGTCTAACATTATACTCATCACTAAAACAGGAGAGTAACACTGGATGGAATGATCAGATTTTGAGAGTGAAATGAGGGAAATGAATCTACAAAGTACTACCACTGGCAGGCAGTTCACTTTTTCATTTTGGGACATATTTGCATTTTGAATATACCTGGCTTCCTGGTGATATGTAATATTTGAACTTTCCCATTCTTTTTTAGTTCCCTTCTAAAGGACGTGAGAAGCATACAGTACATTCTTTAGAAGGCTGTTTAGTTATGGAAGGCTTCTCACTCATTTCCTGATTACTATTAAACTGCTCCATGCAATCACAAATGAGGCTATAAAATGCAGATTTCTTTGAAACGAGTAGAAATATACAAGTATTGTGAACGGTGATGAATATTGATGGCAGCTATTCAACTTTAACCAACTACTGAAACATAAAAGTGGATACTTACTCGCTAAAGGGATAGAAGGGTAAGATAGAAAAACAGGCACATCCTTTTTTGTATTTTAATTGCTGTACTGTGTGATATAGTTATACCTCATTACGCAGAATACAGTATCAGAAAAAAATTACGATGCAGTGCAATGCAAGTGCCATAGTCACTGTGAATATGTATAATTCTATTCTGTATTCTTTCAGAAGAGCTATTTGAATTGCATGCAATGGGAAGAATATTTCCCTAAGGAGACTGAGATAAACAAAAAAGTTTTTTTAACAAAAGCTATCTCAGGTACTTCAGAACATTTTTTCTCTTACAGTTTCTTTTTGAGTCTTTTTATAATTTCCCCTTGCATTTTCCCCCATAATTTTACAGCTTTTTATAATTTCCCATTGCTTGTTCATATAAACACACAGCAGGTTTCTTCTGTTTTAATTGAGATACAGTTTTTGCAGTACTTTAAAGGAAAGAAGGTGATTAGATAAGAAATGGAAGCAACTGCAGACTCCTGAAAGACATTATGGCCTTCTCTAAATCCTCCTAAATATTAAAGTGCTAAATTTTGCTCTCAGTTAAAGATACGCAGACCATTGGCTACAGATATCTAGCTTCAATATTACCTAAAATTTTGCCTTGTTCTTCATAATATTTTCACAAATCAAATTAGGAGTAGCCTCATTTTTAGTTAAATCATGTTTTAGATAAGTGAATTATTGAATAAGTGTAAACTTCATAACATTGCATATAAGCAGTATACATGTAATTAAATAAAAACTTACTATAAGTTTCATAGATATATTTAATGCTTATCCTTCACATTATTCATGTGTGGATATTCAACCACTAACAATTATCGAAACCTAAATGTGCTATCTACTGAAAAAAGTATTATTTCAGCATTTGCTGTCAATCTGAGTTGTGGTTTTAAGTGGAAAACTCAAATCTTTTTTCCATAGGAAAGTCACAAACAATTTGGAAAGGTTTTATTTAAGGTCAATTCAGCACTAACCTGTGGTGCCCTGAAATACATTGGTATTCAATCCTTCACAGGATAGAATCTCTGACTCACTTTTCCCCTGTGGGGCAACCTGTCCAACATCTCCCATTGCACATGGTGATTTTAGGACTCTGTTTTAACTTCTTCCTGGTAGGAAGTCCCCTAGGCTAGGGGTGGGCTAGGAATCAATTAGCACAGTTTAGAGAAGCTACCACACTGATCTGATTTAACATCAGGGCTATTGAGAAGCTGATCTCTGAGCCAGGAAGCTTCTTTGCAGCACTAGCAACTACAGCTGCACACAGCTAAAAATATCTCCCTAAGTATTGAGTGCAAATGTTCTGAAAAACAAGGGTCAGGAAGGTCACAAATTTCTGCAAGCTTAAAATGGTTAGCTGAAATAGGAAAAGCCAAGAGTTGTGTGTAGATCTGCCATTAACCTTTTGACCTAACTTACCACGAAAATATTTAAGATAGATAGAGGATTTTTAACCATGGAATTTCTCAGGAGCTCTATCACAAAGGCCAGTTCGTTACTGTAGTCCAAACAAAACAACTGACAGGCCACAAAACTGAAGGTTTTCTATTCGGTTTACAAAGGTTTATGTAAATACAATTAATATTGCTTAGCTTGTTCTTATCATTTTGTATCTAGAACATTCATATAAGTATTATCAAAACTTCAAAAACCTATCATTATAATTATTTACCCTATAGGGCACCTCGAACCCCAAGAAGCTGGAAGGGACAAATCTCATATCACATAGTGAAGTAATGGTGGAGGTATGGTTAGCATTCAAAGCATGGTCAGAGGTGTTTCATTGGCATGATAAATTAAAAAATGTTAAATACAAATTTTATCCCTTATAAAACCAAAAAAAAAAGCAGGAAGTATTGATAGATTGATTCTCATATCAATTGATGTTGATATGGATTTCTAATCAGAAACTATGTTCCAATGCTGAAGCACCTTTAAGTCTACACAGCCTGCTACTGAACGAATAAGGAACTGTGACTCTATAGGGATAGTTTTTGTTTAAAAGCACTCAGATAGCTCTTCTGTGAAATCCTTTGTGTGAAAGTACACAACATTAGCTACTGAACGAATAAGGAACTGTGACTTCATAGGGATAGCTTTTGTTTAAACGCACTCAGATAGCTCTTCTGTGAAAATCTTTGTGTGAAAGTACACAACATTTCACTGATGATAATATTAATCAGCTTTT